TTCAAGAGACAAACTCGTTGACCTCGCGATTCGCCTCGCCTCGACATTAAACGCGAACAAGAGTTCCATTTGTGCCGTAGGAACTTCCTAATTGTCGAGATATAATCCGCGTTGTCGGCGTATTTAGCGCAAGTTTATCGACCGAGTTCAACTTCCCCGAGATACATCTGCCTTTTATCCGCTTTTGTTTAGCTAGCTTAACGCGCGGTCCTCGGCAAAAGTTACCGTCGAAAATGACGTTGTCGAAACTTCGTCGCAGTCTATGAACTTCTCATCGTGAACTAACGATAAGATTCATTAACTTGCAAAGTTTTTTTTATACAAAATGATCTATCCGACGATGTTGAGACGCCGACCGTTCGCACAACTTTAAATATGTAATAATATAATTGATGTTTCATGATTTAAATCTTTTAAGTACAATCATAATGAGACGTATGTCTTATCTCATACTATAAATGCTAAAAAGATCGTTATTACTTTCATCGTAATTCACTGACCGATATATCGTAATATTATAATAATACTTTTAAAAAATAAACAAAAACTTGCAATACAGCGATAACAAAAAAAAACAAATATGAATCAAAAAGTGACAAAATTAACGAATACCAAAAAAATTTTTTGTTATCAAATGTTGATATATCATAAAAAATTTTTTATTTAAAATGTTAATAAAGAATTTCGTTAATGTTAAAAATGTATAATCCCTGTTCAAAAACATGTCACTAATCTTTTGGAGTCATCGATTCTTGAAGAATTAAAATTACTATAATAGTTTAATATTATAAAATTTACGTAAATTGCTAATTATAATTGTATAACATCAGCCTTATAAAATTAAAAATAATTGACGCAAAAGTAGTTTATAAAAGTTAGAATTTCTTTCGATTCGCTGATTTTTACTCCTCCTCTTTATTTCATTGGTCACTAATAAGCAAGCTCGATAATTCCAATTACCGCCTTGGCGAACGCCTATCATCGCGATTTGAAATCAGGAAATTTCTTCGTTTCCCGTCGCGCTTGCAATGATAATTGCCAGTCAAATAATAGAAGCGATTTTCAGCGACTTTTTTTTTCCTCTTATTGATCATTCTTTTTACGAAGAATTTACATAAGCTGAATACAAAAATGAATTCACGCTAAATGTATTATGTATATGTATAAAGTGTTCATTTCTTGGCACATTTTTTTAATGTAAAATATTCTTTAATAAAAGTTAAATTATTTTTACTTCCTACGAATGTTTAATTAGATGTCATTTCTTTCGTAATGTTATATTGTATTCATTATCCCTTGGTTTTTTATGTTTTATTATATTCCATCTAAAATTGATCTTGGCATAACGACTGTTAATACGATGTCGCGCTCCTATTTCGCATGATTCGTAAATTAAAACGGTTATCGCACAAACAGCTGCAGTTAATGGGTGTCATCTTTACTACAATGCTGCGAGTTAACGATTGTAAAAAGTAGCTGGAGTAACTGACTAAAATATCAGCAATCATAAACAGTAATTCAAGACTGAAGAGAAGTTAAGAGAAAAGTCATTTATATAAAATATACGTTTTGAATGGCACTATACAGTTAAAGTTAAGAAATATGTTAATATTTAGTATATAGAATATATATTTCTTGCTTATATAAATTTGACATTTTTCTGATTCCTTAAGAAACTTCTAATCTTAAGTGAAATTCACACGTGGATAAATTTATCCTGCTATATATATTTCATTCTGTTTTGTTTCACAAGATAATATTATTATAAAAATATTGAAAACTTTATCCCAGTTATTATTCATCTATTAAATCAAATTATTTCATAATTATTATAATATACAGATGACAGTTAAATAAATCACTTTTTTAACTGTAATTTGTTCCTAAACTATCGTTACCAAGTTTTCTCTATTAGTCAGACAAACAAAAATAAAACAATATTGACTCTACATTGATGAACATTTGCTTCAGCGCAAAATTGAACCGTCAATTCGCGCCAACGTTACAGGATCGCATTCGTACAAAACTCTTTTTGCAGAGAAAATAGGATATCCGGAAAAAAAGGTCATGCCTCAAATGTCTATCAAAATGGCTTTAAGGGATTTGCTGTCCCTTCCGAATCGCACGGAGAGTATCGGAATACATTGTGAAAAAAAAATATTCACGCCAACAAAGGCATGCATGAAAAAAAAGCAAGATACATCTGACTGTGTGCCCGTGCGTGTCAATGCGTATCATGCCGGTCGGTGTCCACGTTGACGCACGCGAGTATGCAGATATCGAGAAACGATATCCAAAACCACCCTCCGGACGCCGCGGCAGTGCGTTCATGACGTCACGGACGACGCGCACGCGCCGAATCTCAGTTACATGTTGATCGTTACCCACGTTCTGCAGCCACCGGACTGCTTATGGCACGACCACACGCTATCAAATCACATACAGAGTATATCTTAAATAATCCGGTAGCGTAAACAGGAGAGACAAAAAAACATGCAGTATTAAACTGTGTGGGTCTGAAGAGATGCAAAAATGCTCAAATCTAAACAGAATTGATCAGTTAACTAGAATTAATTTTTCGATATGATCATAAAATAACAAAGCTACTGCAAAAGTTTTGTAAAATTACAATTATTTATTTTAAAATTTCAAAAAAATATATCAGGAATAAAACGGATTCACGTCACTATAAAAACTGTGACTGTGTTTAAAATTTATGTCAAGTAGAAGATAATACTAAACGTCAAACATCAAGAAACAACTAATAATAAAATAACTGATGCTTACGCCGTGCCTAGACTTGTTTACGGCGTTGTGTCATTAATAATAGTAATTTGTCAAAAACAGAGAACTTATAACAGCTTTAAGTAAACCTAATTCCATTAATTCTTTTAATATTTCAGCTTCTGAGTACGCTACCTGATAATCATTCTCCATTCGTTAATATTTTCGATTACTCTTAAAAATAAATTGCATGCTTTCTTATATTTTAACACAAAAAATCTGTGCTAAAAAGTTTGCACTAGAAATCATTCCAAATTTTTTTAAATTTGATCTCATATCGCATCTTCGATTCTAAGAATTCTAATTAGTTCAATAGTGTATATCGCAAAATGGTGCAGTTTGTCGAACTGACACTTGAGTAGACATTAAGAACACACAGATCGGATCGCTTCGTCATTTGGAAATTTCCGCGAAAAATTTTACTGGACTTGCGAGATGCTCGCTGATACTCGGCTGAATTCCGACTTTGCGCGAGGGAATTGAGAATATCTTTTGATGCAGTTAAATTTACATCCCGTGTACATTATACAAATCATCAGCTGTTCTAAGAGCAGATATTTTCAAGGCGTGTTTCGGTGTCTTCGGCTTAATTTTCGAGACTCATGATTTTTTCGATTAGCTAGTGCGAACACCTCAGATGCGAGTCATCACATTTTATAATTAAACTCAACCTAAAAGTAGAATATAAAATCATGTTTTTGCTCGTCTTAAAAGTTTATTAGTGATATCAAGTATAACTGTGGCAAAAATAATGCTTAATTAAATATCAATCTTCGAATCCATCAATTTTCGCTATCCATGCTCGCTGTTGAATCTTGCGAGCTTGATGCAAATAGCGGCACGAGTCACATTAAAATCATATTCATATATTCATGCAAATACACGCGTAATTTACATTCCGGATATGCAAATCGATATTGTTGATACAGCGCTACGCAAAAGAGTCAATGTTTTCCAATCCCCGCTGTTTTAGGATATGACTACGGCAGTTAAAGCCCCATTTGCTTGAACAATTGCGTGTCGCGTGGACCTCAAACGTCTGTAACGCGAAAGGGTTAAGCTTATTTCCTAGAAGCAATAAAATCGTGATGTTTTCGCGATCCACTATCTATTTCATTAAATGACGACGGTTTGTTCAGTCAAGTTGGGTCACCAAACAAGTAAAAAGTATAAATGGAAAAAATGTTTGGTCGCAAGGAAAGAGAATGTTTCTTTCTCCGTGGAAATGGCTCGCAATTTGTCAAGGATTATCACATTATCAACTACACTCTAGAGCTCGCTGTAACTTTCCACCCGCTTCGTACGAATCGATAATTTCGTTACAGATCATATCAAAATCGATAATTATATTTATCAAACTGTCGTAATAATGATTTATCTGTAATAAAAAATTTTTCTTTTTTATAACTGAGAAAAAATATATAGTTCTACTATCTATCTTACTCTTAGCATTCCAGATAATTCAATAAAAACGGGAAGAAACATTTAGTACTTAGAAACGCGAGCCTTATTTGAAAAGAATATATTTGCACGCTATAATACTATTTTTAAAAAACTCAACTTTTTTAGCAAATTGTATGAAAGATTCTTACTTATATATAATAAATTTTTCTTTAGAATATTGTTCAATAACTATAATTTTAAAAAACTAACTTTTCTAATAAACATTTCATAAAAAAGCCGTTTATTTATCAATAAATTTCTTCTGTAAATATTAATACTTCGATGTTTAATCGATTATCTTTCCTTATTTGCTTGAAGGGATATTCGATCAGTTTAAGAAACTGCATATACAGAATATGTACATAAATTAGAGAAACTATTGTCTTGTTAATGTATCGATTTTTCAAGCTCTCGTGAACAGATCACGGTGATTTATTACTTGTGATATTGGCACGCATATATATAAAGTATCATCAACCGTATCACTCGTCAGTAGCAGACTTTTGAAATGATTTGGAGACGAAAATCTTTATATCAAAAAACTGCAGTAATTTTTAAATGCAAAATTTTTAAAATTGGCAATCAGATTATCAAAAATTTATACGCTTAGGCATGTCGCGTATTGATTTTTGTATCCTTACCATACAAGAAACCTTAGAAATCTGCTATGAGCGGGTGACACAGTTGATCTGTAAAACACCTTGTATATTTTATATTACTTTTAAATCTATTTACTTAACAATATTAAAATAAAATTAATTGGATTGACTTACCGGCACGATGAGCAGCAACGCAGTTCTTTACAAGTTGTGATCTGTAACATACAAAGCATAAATTATAACAGTGTTGAAAATAATTATTACACATCTTAAATTTCACTTTCATTTATCTTTCTTTTATGCAAATATCTAATAAAGTAATTATATATTTATATCTAATAATCATACATATTAAAATTACAAATTATTTACTGAAAGATTTTATTTCAAAATTTCTATATGCATTATATAATATTTTATGTGCAATATTTTACAAATAACAGATAACAAATAAATGACTACTTACCTTAAAGTTGCTTTGCCGGCGCCCGATGCTCTTCCTGAGCCTCTTCCTTCTCTCAGTCCTCCTTGCAGTCTTTCAAGGCACTCATACGCGTTTGCGACGCGAATACGAAATCGCATGATATTTTAAACGACACTCCCGACACGTACTTTGTCATTTGGACAAAGTAAAAATTCGAATATTCGTACGGAATACACGTTCAACACTCTCCGCAATAGGTAACGATGAAAAAGGATGGGATCGAAAACGGGAAGTAGTAAGGATAGTATTATTGGAGAGGATAACACACCGATACGAAACAATCTGTTCTAGTGCCGCCGTACGAATAATGGGCCAATGAACACATCAAGGACAAAGTCGCGCCGATTCTAATTTGGAAGAATGCAGAGAAAAAGAGGGGATATGAAGTGCGCAGGCTAAACGCAAGGACGAAAATATCCCTACCACACGTCGCGAGTCGGTCTCGAAATTCTTAACAACAACAAAGAATTTATCAAACATTTATCACAATTCAGTTTTAACTCGATTTCAATTTGACTTCGATAAACGTTCGATAAATACTTTAATGTTGAGAATTTCGAGACCGACTCGCGACGTGTGGTATGATGTTTTCGTCCTCGCGTTTAGCCTACGCACTTCATATCTCTCGCTGTGTATCGGGCGACACGCATTATTATATGCTACTCTCTACATTCTCCCAAATCAAAATCGGTGTGATTTTATCCTTGATTTGTTTATTGTATCTTTATCGTTTGCACGGCAACATCTTGCATAGGACAAATCGTATCAACGCGTCATCCTTTCCAATAGTACTATTCTTATTATTTTTCGTAGTTTTCAATCTCACTTTTTCCATTATTACTTGTTATGGACGCGACAGTGTCAATAATGTAATCCGTGTGATAAAATTCGAATCTGAATGATAAAGTACGCGTCAGGAGTGCCGTTTGAAATATTGTGCGATTTTTCGCGTCGTGAACGCGCGTATGAATGCCTTGAAGGACTGCATGAAAGAGAGGAATAAGAAGAAGGCTTAGGAAGGATATCAGGCGTCAGCAAAGCAAACTTTAAAGTAATTATTTATTTGTTATAAGTTATTTGCAAAATATTGCATATAAGATATTATCTAATAATAACGCATACAGAAACTTTAAATATTCAGTAAAAAATTTGCAATTTTTCATATTTATGACTATTAGATATAAATATATAATTTTTTTATTAGATATTTGCATAAAAAAAGATGAGTAAAAGTTTAATGTGCGTAATAATTCTTTTCAATGCTGCTATAATTTAGATGTACTTTGCATGTTACAGATCAACGATATGAACAACTCTGCTGCTGCGTATCATGTCGGTAAATCAGACCAATTTATTTTACTTTAATTCATCATTAAGAGAATAGATTTAAAAATAATGTAAGATATACAAAATGTCTCAAACTAACCATATCACCCGTTAATAGCAGATTTCTAAGATTTCTCATGATATAAGAATCAATATGCGACGTGTTTTTGAGAGCGTGAATTTTTGACAATTTGATTGTCAACTTTAAACACTTTACATTTTAAAATTACTGTAGTCTCGACATTTTGATGTACAGATTTTCATCTACAAATGACCTCAGAAGTCTGCTATTAACGAGTAATATGATTGGTCTAGGATACTCTGTATATACAATAGTATCGATTTATTTCCTTCCCTTCGAGAGATTTCCGATTGCCGTGCCCTTACTGTTTCTCAGATCGTAAAACCTGATAGGTAAACCGGAACTGCCGGCTGTATGAAATTCTTGTGATTTAGCTTTTGTTTGATTGTTGTTGATTTAGCTTTCGTCAGTCCGCACTTGTAAATCTTACGGCAAATTAACTCGCGTAAGAAATTACTCTTCTCAAAAGATTAATTTTTAGTAATAAATTTGAAATTGCAATCGCTAAATCAAAAAATATATTTGTCATTTCAAAAAAATTGTAATGCAAATTAATATATAAAAGCCAAGCGCCTTAATAACCATGATGAAATTAAATTATTATCTTGCATCTAAAAAATAAATGGAAGAAAAAGGAAAAAATGTAAGAGATTAAAGCTCTCGACTACTAGAAGCATCCATAGTAGATTGTGACGTCAAAAGCGAGAAAGCACACGTGATATTTTCTTACGATATATATAAAATAGAATAATTTTTTTTTGCATTCTATTATTTCCGTTCGATAAAACAGACCATGAAATATGTCATAAATTCATATTTTAATTGAAATATACATTGAATTTTATGAGTAAACAAATGTATAATTTATTTTATATGCATTCTTTGTTTCTGACCATAATTGATTAAATTTGCAGCGATTTATTAATTCATAAACTCAAACGGAATTTGCGTGTGATTTTTCACTTCTGACGTCATAATCCGATATAGCTACGGAGGTTGGTCCAGAATTTTAATCGAAGAGCATCAAAAATAGATTTCATTACCTAATGTAAACTCAGTCGAACCCTCCTTGCGTACTTCTTCATCGCCCAAGCATTATATTGAATTTCGTTTCGTCATTTTTATCAGAATCGCCGCTATTACTGGCAAACTTTCAAATTTCTTAACCATAACAAACCAGATAAAATAGATAAGGATTAGAAAGAACGAGTTGATATTTTTTAGTATCATAAAAGAAAAATTTACAATCAAATATCATCTATGCAATTATAGAGAGATTTCGAAGTTTAATACTGTGTTGAAATAAAAATGAAATATATGGTATCACAAAAAATTATCAGGTATCAGTAAAATATCCGAGATGATTTATGTACAATACATAAATACTCCTAAAGACACTTTGGAAACATCAACCCCTCATCAATCCCCCAATATATAAATTTGTTAATTACATTTAAAAATTATTTTCTCAGAGAAAAGGACTCCGCACGATTCTTATGGAAAAACGTTTTCCATCAAATTGTATGAATTGATCAGAGACACAAGAACTATATCATATTACAAATTGATATAGTCTGATATAGTAGTGATCAAAAAACTCAATGGACACGAAACTTTTTTATGCACAGTTTTTGAGTTATTTGAAAATCGTTGTCACAAGCAGTAAATACTGGTAGGTCAGCACTGCTATTCCCGGCGCTCGACGTACATGTTTTATGTTTGTAGAAGTGTTTGTGCGTATGCGTATGTTATTTTTATTCATCTGTGCCGCTGCTTGCTGTGACGATGATTATCAAGTGCCTATAACTCAAAAGCAATGCATAGAAAAGTTCTGTATCCATTAAATCTTTTTATCAAAAACACAACAATATCGTATCACAAATTCATACACTTTGACCAAAAACGTTTTCCCATAAGAATCATGCGGGGTCCTTTATAAGATCATTTTTGCTTCTTTTTTCAATATTATTGGAATATATATTCCTATTACTCATTTTTATACGCCGCGCGTATAGTTTTTAACGATCTTACTCAAAGTATGTATTCCACTTAAATAGAAAAAAAGTAGGAATAGGATAATGTTAAAGGGAAGTGTGAACTTTGCAGCATAATGGCAAACAGCGGAGAACAATTTCTTTTGCATCGATCTGTGAGTTGCGTCAAGCGTGTATTACAAGAAAATGCACTCACCAGAGCAAGTGGTCGGAAAATCATTCGGCATAAACTTGACGTAAACTATTTAACGCTATAACGCAGACATCTTCACTTCCATGATTATCTTCGCAAAGTGGTAAAAGCTTTTAAGACTAAAACAAATTTAGTATACTTTTAATCCAACCTTTTTATAAATTATAAAAGATTATATATATTTTAGAAATATAGGTATATAACAAAGTATCAGCATAAATAGATAAAAAATTTATATTTTAAACAGTAGAGCTTATTCATCGTTTTACAAATAATAAGTTTTTTATTGTAAAAATTTTCTGTCGTTATTAACAGTTCTACACTTTATGAATAATAATACAACCCTAAATTTAATCACTTAAAAATTCAAACGCGAACGTAACACTTAAAATGTTTTATTCATTCTATAATTTTAAACAAATATTAAAAAAATATTTATTAATAAAGTCTAATTTTTGCTCAACTTTATGATAAAAAACCAACAAAGATTCAACATCAATCTTTTTCAGAACACGATAGATGCATCTTATAACTTTCAAAAGCATTAGCAAGAAAATGAACTTTTAAGAACGTAAGCCCGTAATAGCACGAAAATTGCATCAAGCGAAAAGGCTTTATTTAGATAGCAAACGATTAATGCGAATTTACTGAAGACCATTTCGCGTGCTATTTCAAGATCGCCAAGATTCTTCACTTAACTCTCATTTGCTCACGATAGACTTATGTAGACTTGATTAACTTATTTGCGAGCGCTTTTGAGGCGATAAAAGTTTTATCATTAAAATATTTAACATAATTTTTATGTAAAAATAATTATGTCACAAATGTCAAATTAAATAACACAAAGTGCTCGCTTTATGCTTATCATCAGCTTTGATATCGCTAGCACAACAAACAAGTTATTGAAACGTTCGTTAAAAACAGCTTTCGTTTTACACCGTCAAAAGCGTATTTTAAAAACATGCATATTCGACGCCAAACTCGCTCTTTCGTTCGTGAATTTTGCTATTTCCGATATAACGAATCGTCTCTTGTGTTTGCTGTGCAAAGCTCGCACCCGAGATGCTCGTCAAACAAAATGAGAAACTTAATTGACAAATTGCAAAGTTCTGACCGGTTCAGACAGTCAGCTTACG